TTTTTTTTAAAAAAATATTAAATAAAAAGTTACTATAAACATTTAACTAGGTAAAACTACAAAAATCATTAAAATAACATTTAAATTGTTTAACAGGCATTAAAAATTATTTTGTGCCACAGACGTAGGGACGTCCACGGAGGGGATTTTGAAGTCATGTTTATTAAAAAATAAGAATGAAATATTAAATACATTTAGCAGAAATGCATATGATTTGTTAGTTAAGAACTTCACGAAAAATGATTTAAAAAAATATTAAGAAATCTGTATTTCCTAATATTTATCACTCAGGGACTTAAAAGATCACCTTTTTGTGAGAATGACCCATATATATTGAATAATATAGTAGCTGGGTGGCGCAGTTGGTTTGTCGTCGGCCTTCTGAGCCCAAGTCTGCGGGTTCCAGGCACCGGATTTTCGGGATGCAGAAAATCCTCAGCGGCCATGTAGTATGATTATGCGGCATGTAAAAGATCCCTGGAGTACCTTATTGGCTCTTGGCATTTCCGGCAAAATTAAATTCCTAGTGCACTTTAGCATCCAAATAGAGTCTCGGTGCTGCCATCTATTGTGGCAGAAACTAGACGTCCAAATTAACATGACCAACGGTATCTCACCCATTGTGGTGGTCCTGAAAGAGTGGATACCACCGCTGGAGAACGCACTAGGTCTGCTCATCGGCAAGACCGATTGTGCAGTTCATTGGAAATAAAAAAAAATATTCAATACAAATCTATAAAAAAGACAAGAATATTCAATGCTTTCAAGAATGAAACTAATATGAAAGCACTCTTAGGAAAAAAGTAAAATGTTTTCTGGGAGTTTTGAGGGATTCTCACTGAAAGCATTAAGATTTTTAAAACAGTTGACTGTAATGTGGGATCATGATTATAATAAATCTCTTTCATTTATTTTCGTGCTTACAGTTTTAATTAATTTGCACAATTCAATATTTCTTACAGTTAAACGTATACCATTTACATAGAATAAATGAACAGTATGTATCAACGTTTCTTCTTCTAAACATTAATGTAAGAAAGAAGCAAATTTCTGTAGCGAATCTGCTAGAAATAGTTATCAAACTTCTTTGGCGTTTTAATATAAATTACAAAACTTCTGAAGAAGTTTCGTCATTTATATTTAAAAATTTTTTATATTACTTCTACATACCTGCCGAATCTCCTGTTTTTTAACTTGTTTATAGTTAAAGTTGAACCGTGATGGTTCAGAGGATAGAGTGTTTGTCCTCTAATGGGTTAAACCGAGTTCAAATCCCAGCCATGACTGGTTGATATAAATTACGCATCCAGCTTGCATCAACCACAATGCTGCTATCATCAGTGGCAAACGGATCACAGGTCCTCTTGTCACGAGGCTAACTGTGAGAAGTTTTTGTGGTTTTGCTCCCCATGTAATGCAAATGCAGGTTAGTTTCACCAAAATGGCCTCCACAAAGGCAAATTTCTCCCAATATTTGATCCAGAAGTTCCCTTGTCTTTTGGATTGGGTTCAAAATTACAAGACTACGGAATTGGACATCAGTATAGTCGTAAACTCTAAATTGAGTCGGCTGTTCAGCGACGGTCATAAAATAAAACAATTTAAATATTCACAATAATGCTTTAAAAAAAAATCCGCGCGGGCGGCCATTTTCCCGTTAATGTGGGTGATACATTTTCAATTTTTGTTATCTTACAAGAGTCTAGCTTCCTCACTTCTAAAATGACCCTCTAATCTAGAAATACATGCTGCGCTCTTTGGAATTGATGTTTTCTCGGTCTGGGAATACTGCAGCGGTTGAAAGGGGCTTTTCGGCAATGAACTTACAAAAAAACACAATACGTACTGGTCTTTTAAGCAAGAAGCGTTAAACGCAATTATGAACATGTATCTAAATGGAAAATCCCTCTCAGATTTCTGTGCAGAAACCTCTGTAAATCATTGGCTTGATTGTGGAACAGGCAAACGTCATATTTGATTCATTTAAAAAACGTAGATAAATTGACATTCCAGATAACTTGATTTTTGTCATTTAAATTATTTCATAAAAGAAATACTATTAGTGACCTAGTGTTTCTTTTATTACTGTATAATGTAATCCTAGTAACTAGTAATTCAATCTGCAATTTATGTACATGTTAGTAATAAATAAGAGAAAATTATATTTCTTATTTATTTAGAAGCGACGGGTTAGTTTCAAAGGAGGACATTGTTGGACTAGCCGTCCTCGGGAGGCGTTTAAAATTTCTGAGTTTTTTCGAGCCCTGGTTTTTACAGCTTCCTTTGTGACATTCTAGATATAATTTGAGTTGGTCATTATTCGTATTATACCATACATTGATATTTATTTATTTTATATTCCCAGTACTTTTTTAATTTTCCACAGAATTTTTATTTTATTTATTTAATCAGAAAAAAAGAATGTAAAGCACGTTTTGAAAAACTACATTATGTTCTAATCAACAATTCAATAGAAATTTCTTAAGAATGTTGGATTTCAAACATAAGATGGAGTTGTAGTAGTTCGTGGGGTTGTGGGGTTGTTGACACCACTCATGAAATCTCTCATCTGATTGGTGCAGCTGGTCGATGGTTGAATATCTTGCACGTCCATTCGTGCTTTCACCAATTTCTCGAAATAGCATTCTTGCTGAAATCAGAAAAAAAAAGTTGTGAATATAAATTCATTTGTGTCAGAAATGGATTGAAAAAAAAAAGTTCATTTGTGTCAGAAATTGATCGAAAAAAGTTCATTTGTGTCAGAAATTGATTGAAAAAAAAGTTCATTTGTGTTAGAAATTGATTGAAAAAAAAGTTTATTCGTGTAAGAAATTGATTGAAAAAAATGAGTTGCTGTTGTAGTTCATTTACGTCGCACTAGAGCTGCACTATGAGCTATTGGCGACGGTCTTTTGTTGATGAGCTATTGGCGACGGTCAGGTCCCTGAGGATGATCCGAAGACATGCCATCGCGATTTTGATCCTCTGCAGAGGGGATGGCACTCCCGCTTCGGTAGCCCGACGACCTGCACGTGAAGTCGAGCACTTTATGGTAGAACAGTTTAGCGAGAACTCATACCGCACACCCTCCGTCCCTACGCAGACTGATCTAAGTGATCACCCACCCGCACACTGATAGCAGCCAGTGGTGCTAGATTACGGTGATCTGCTGGGAACCGACTCTTAACAATCAGTCCACTGAGGGACTTGTTCGTAAAGTTCCGGTTCTTAAAACTTGCTATCAAAAACAATTTTTTTTAAAAATTTCGTTCTGTAAAGCATATAAAGTAAAATTAAATATAAGGTATTTACTCTTAACTAAATAGTATAGGTATTCATTCTTAAGAAAATGGCTATTTTAATGAAATTAATAAAGAGAAAATTAATTTTTAAAAAAAATTTCAAATTGTTAGAATTGTTTCGAAGATATATATTTCCTATGAGGGAATGTGCTATATTAAAACTATTAAACATATTCTTTGAGAATTTTGTACTTAAACAATTAAATTAGTTATGAAATGCTTAAAGGAAGAAAAAGAAAAAAAACTCCCGTTGGTTTTTATGTATGGAAATTGTTTTACATAGCTGATTTGTTAATATGTACAGACTGATTTAGTAAATAAAATACAAATATTCACGATGGCTAACAACTAAGCAATGTATTGCTGATTTAAAAAAAAGTAAACAAAAACTCTTGTCTTTATTGTGATCATTATTGACTATGAGAACAGTTACTGGACAATAATTTAATGAAGTAAAAAAGTTATAAGTAGGGTAATTAAATTTTCTTTTCAAGTTACAAATAGTTTTCATTATTTTATTTGCATATTTTATCAGCTCACACTGATTATTAGACTTTCGACTACAACAGGATTCTTTTCTTAATGTATTGTATAATTATAACAGCTTAAATGCCGAATTAAGGTCCCGCAGTGAACTGATCGTTAAGACACGGTTCCCAGCAGATCACCGAAGTCAAGCATCACTGGCTGCGGTCAGTGTGCGGGTGGGTGACCACTTGGATCAGCCTGCGTAGGGACCGAGGGTGTGCGGTATGGGTCCTCGTTAAACTGTGCTATCGTAAAGTGCTCGACTTCGCGCGCAGGTCGTAGGGCTACCGCAGCGGGGGTGCCATCCCCTCCGCAGAGGATCAAAATTGTGATGGCATGTCTTCGGATCATCCTCCGGGATGTTTCCCAGACCGTCGCCAATAGCCCATTGTGCTGCTCTAGTGCGACGTAAATTAGCAGCAGTAGCCGAATTAAGAAAGAATTATCTGAATAACGTGAAACTTTACCACAAAAAAAGCTATTAACAATATAAAATTAAAAAAACATTTAAGTGCGTTTTTTACGATGTTCCATTTTTGGAGCATTGAAAGGTAAACAGTTAATTCATAGTAGTCTAGAAACATACACTACCCTACATTAATAGAAGAGGCACTTTCATTTTTTGTTTTTGCAATTTTTAAATTTTTTCTTAATCAAATTTTCAATCGTTAATAAAAATACTTTTAATTCATCCACTCATGTTCAAATACATTTTCTTAAACTTGTAGTGGATGATGTTAATACAGTTTGTTTCAAATATTAATTTATTAATCAAATTTAATTAATTCCTACTGTTAGTTCACACTCGTTATAATTTGCATTTTATTTGTATTATAACAAATTAAATTAAAAAAAAATTTTTTGATCTAAATAGGAATTGCTATAACCGCATAAAACTTTATAAACTTAGCTTAAATATATACGGAGATATTATTTAAGATAAGAAACTAATCTTTTTGTCTGATGTTTTTCTTTACTATGACTTTAAAACTATTCAATATATTTAATAATAAAATATTCAATAGTTTCGGTGCAGTCCTTCATTAATTACGAAATTATTATTTTAAAATTTAGAAATAATTCGTCAAAAATTGTGATTTAAAGTATTTCATTTATACTGAGCATGCGCGAAAAAATTTTTAAAAAATTTCATGATGTTTTAGAGACTCATCTGTCGTAACTAATGAAAAATTTTCAATTTGATTATCTTGGAAAAATTCATTATCAAGTTTCTAACATTATTCTAAATATTTTTTGTACATATTAAAGGAAAACTCTAAAAGATAAGGGGCTTGCTACAAATTTCATTTTGCATCATAAGGCAAAATTTAATAATTAATGATAATACCTTACAATAATAGTATAGACACCAAAATATGATGACGTAACGATAGAAAACACTCGAAACTAAACATTCTTTTATGGAGATGATTCCCATAATACCGGTGGCATTTTTGATGCATCTCATTTAATAATAGTACAAGTTGTAGTTGTAGTTCATTTACGTCACTCTAGAGCTGAACAATGCTTTCGGTGTAGAGTTGGGAAGCATCCCTGAGGATGATCTGAAGATATACCATCACAATTTTGATCCTCTGCAGAGGGGATGGCACCCCTGCTTCGGCAGTCCGACGACCTGCACGCGAAGTCGAGCACTTTACGGTAGAACAGTTTAACGAGGACCAATACGCGGACCTCGGTCCCTACGCAGACTGATCCAAGTGGGTCACCCACCCGCACACTGACCGCAGCCAGTGATGCTTGACTTCGGTGATCTGCTGGGAACCGTGTCTTAACGATCAGTCCACTGAGGGACTAATAATAGTACAAAATAAAATTTGTGAAAATCCCCTGATTGTTCAGAGCGTTCTTTTTAAAAGTAAAAAAAAATTACTTAGAAAATTGTTAAGAAACTCATGAAATTATTCTATACTGTAAAGTGACTTATATTCTATTATTGTAGAATAGTGCGTAATGACTTTTTAAGGCAAGGCTATATGGGACGCGATAATAATAGCTCTTCAGAAATCGGATATGAGTTGCTTTTAATTATGAAAGCATCTTTGTTAAGTAAAAGAGTTGAATAATCCTTTTACGATTTAAAACGTAAAAGGATTACGTAAAGGAAAACGTAAAGACACACAAAATCTCACTGAACACAAACATATATTTTTTTTTTTACAGATTGTTAACGTAAACTACAGAGTCATCAGTCAGAATTTTCAGTTTTTACGTATTTTGCCCGAGCTTAGGAATTTTTTGAACGAACTAAAAAAAATTTGCAAAATGCTTTTTTATTCAATTAAATGCAAAAAATAATTTTTAATCATTATTTTGTGTTACTTCATATAGTAATGGTGGGGCAAGAAAATGTGTAAGTTTTTATATCATTTTTAACTATAAACTTAAATGTCCATATTTTAAACATAAATCGATCGAACGGTCAATTCACGACACGACATTTCCAAATACTAAAATGAACTTACCTGATATTGTTGCCAGTCGCATCTCGGGCGGTCCGATTGTCGCTCGTTTTCTGAAAGAAAGAAATGTTCACATTTTTATTCTAGAATAAAAATGACAGATCTGCTGTGAAATATAAATTTTCAAATCTTTTGATGGCTCAGGGAATAGAGCCTTCTATTGAGGTGAACCGGGTTCGAATCCCAGCGATGACTGGTCGATACGAATTCCGCTACCTGCTCGCGCCGATCACAGTGCTGACGTAAAACATCGTTGGTGGTAGATGGGTCATGGGTTAAAGTCCCCTTGCCGTCCTGCAAACCTTGATAGTTTTTGTGGTTTTCCTCTTCATGTAACGCAGATGCGGGATAGTTCCATCAAAAATTCCTCTACGAAGGCAAATTTCTCCCAATTTCTGATCCAAGAGTTCCTTTGTCTTCTGGATTGGGTTCAAAATTATCAGGGTTAGTCTATCATGGGTTAGAGTCCTCTTGCCATCAGGCTGATAGTGGGAGGTTTTCGTGGTTTTCCTCTTCATCTAATGTGTTTTTTTTTTTGTTTTGTTAAAAAGTCCTCTTCGACGGAAAATTTCTCGCAATACTTAATGCAGGAGTTCCCTAGCCTTCTGAATTCGGTTCAAACTTACAAGGCTACGGTGTTGAACATTAGTAGTCGTAAACCCTAAACATTGGGTCTGCTGTTGAACGACAGTTATAAAAAAAATTTTTAGAAATAACTGTAATAGGATCTAGTTTGAACTGTAGGTTAGAATTTATGTTTCTTAATTAAAGCAATAAAAACAAAGCTATCGCGAAAGCCCTCAGTTCTGACGTAAAACATCCTCAGTGGTGGATGGGTTAGAGTCCCCTTGCCATCAGGCTGATCGTAAGAGGTTTTCGTGGTTTTCCTCTTCATGTAACCCTAATGTGGGTTTTTATTATTATTTTTTTTGAGAAAAAAGTCCTCTATGAAGGTAAGTTTTTCCCGATACTTGATCCAGGAGTTCCCTTGTCTTTGGAATTCGGTTCAAATTTTCAAGGAGTTGAATATTAGTAGTCGTACACCCAAAAATTGGGTTGGCGACAGTTATATATAATCTGATTGAGAAAATCGAGAGAATTAGAAGTTTTCTTTTCATTTTTCTTTTGTTTTTTAAAACAGTGGTTAATTTATTATCAATAAAGCTCTTTAATTGAACATAATTGTACTATGTATTTGATTTCAATCTCCAAGTAGGAATTTTTGCTTTCTTTTTTAAATGGAAATTGTTATTGGTTTTAAAATTTGTGTGTGTTCATAGACAGACATATTGCATAGTAAGATTGTTTATGAGATGGTAAATATTGTAAATCATTTACATTTAGCCAGGGAGCGTAGCGTTTTTAAAAAGTGCTTAAAGGTGCTTATTTTCAATTTTCGTTTTTTAAAAGCCCTTAAAGGTGATTTTTTCATTGGGTATTTTCAAAAAGTGCTTCGTTTTCCCTTTTTCAAAATGAGATTTTCCTATTACTATGTTGATTTTCGCATCGAATTATGCAAAATGACACAGTTCACATTTGTTCTATCCAACGTTTTTACAATTAATTCAACCCCTTATCTATTTCGGCGTAATTTCAGTCCGTAGGATATGAAAACACCATTCAATTTACATAATTCAAAATTTCATGATTTTTGACAATTGACAAAAACAATGACAAAAGTTTTTTTTGACATGACTGTTAAAACAAGATAAAACCCTTAATTGTCAAAAACTTTCCAACGCTGCCTAGTTCTGATATTTTTTTAAAGTGCTTAAAAGTATTTTTCGAGTGCTTAAAAGGTGCTTATTTTTGATAAATAATTTGGCTACGCACCCTGTTAACGCTTCCGCCAAGCCTTTGAAATTTGCAAATTTTTTTATATTTTAACATTATAATATAACACATTTCTTCGGTAAACATAATTTTAATATTTCAAGTCATTTTTTGAACATTTTTGTTTTCAATAATAGCACAACAGAATTGTTCAAGATTAAATCTTAAGTATAGGGTATGGATTGCCTGGTTGGTAGGACGTTGGGCTCGTGTTCGTGTGAATCCTACCGGCGTAAGATTCCTCGTGTTTTAAATGGCGATTGGTGCACGTTAAATCTGCCGTAGTCTCGAACTCCTCAACGTTCCTGTGACAAATCAATACTTGTAGCTGTACTGAAATGGATGTGGATCCTTCTCAGGTTCAGGTTAAAATTACGATCCGTGGAGGAATAAATGGAATATGATTAAGGCCTCCCAGTGAAACGGGCTGTGATGTGTAAGTAACTGAAAACTAATTTTAGACTTTTGTTTCGGTTAGTTTACTGTTTTCATTCCAAACTGGACGTTCAGGACTGGTAAAAATCGAGAGCAGCGCTTCCTCACGCACTCCAAAAACATATGAGAATATCAGATTGAGATCACGGCTGTGTGATCATGGGCAGCTGCAGTGTTCCCCAACCTTTTTATCACCGCGGACCCGTCAACGTTTGATAATTTTTAGCACGGCCTGCTGGGGGGAGACGACGTTGATTGTTTATATTTTAGATTATTTTGATTCATTAATTTTTAATTTAATTGTATTTAAGCATGCCTCCAAAATGAAATACAGTTACACCAAAAAAATAAATATAAAGCGATTTAACTTACTAGAACGTTAAATCAATGAGAACCCTGAGCTTGTTTCTTTGCAATGAGAAGGTTCGAGTGTGTTGTCCAGTTTATTCCGTTGCTTTGTTTTGGTTGCTGTTATTGCAGAAAACCCCGCTTTATAGCAATAGGTTGTCGGAAAATTTTAATGGGTCACAGATATTTTTAATTTGGGGTATAAACTCTAGAAATTTGAATTCAGTTTCAAAATGAAATGGGCGCCCCTGTACCATTTGATCCACGGACCGGGGGTTGGGGAACACTGTTATATCCTGTACCGTCATACGAGAATCACGTGATCAACGGGTTAATACGTATGAGGGAAGGATCGGGTTAGCCTGGTTGGTAGGGCACTGGGCCCATGTCCAATTGGTCTTGGGTTCGATCCCCGCCGGCCGAAGATTCCTCGCGTAGTAAATGGTGACTGATGCACATTAAATCTGCCGAGTCTCAAAGTCCAGGCCATAACAAATCATACCTTTGGGGGTACTGATTCAGGAGTTTCCTTGTCTTCTGGATTGGGTTCAAAATGACGAGGCTACGGAGTTGAACATTAATAGTCGTAAACCCAAAATTGGGTCGGCTGTTCAACGACGGTTAGAATAGAATACGTAGGAGGGAGTGTTAACATGGAATATCTTACCATGCAGTTGCCTGTCGATAGCGTAAAAGAAATCGTTGCATGCCGGGAACATGTTTCTTGGGTGATTTGGTGGAATGGGGTGAAATCCTCCACGCATAAATCCCTCCACTTCCTTGGTGAACACCACCGCTGTTGCTACTGCAATAATGAACAATACCTTCATGGTGCAGAATGTAAAAACCTTTTCATTTTCTTGTTTTGTTTTTATAGAGGAGATCTTTTCCTTGCAAATAATAAGCCGACAATAGGACGGAAACGAAACCAGTTGTTCTGATTGTGGCGCCATCTGTCGAACCATTTTCTTTTAAAAAAATCCACACAAAAAAAAATTCCTTCCATTGATTCGATAATGAGACCTTCACACACGAGACAATACCTATTGTTCGATTGTTCTTTTTCTTCCATTTATTTTTTTAACAAGGTTCCATTTTACGACGATCGTTTTCGTGTGATCTTGCGAACGAAATCACCTCCCAATGAATTAGGTGCCATTTACAACAATCAGTTAAAAATGAAAAATCTCATTCGTTTTATCAGACAAAAACTGCTATCAATAAAATTTAAATGAATTATCATACACGGAGATTTTTTTAACCTACGATGAAATTGATTTTTTCTTATATATATCTTAATTTTTTGAGCCTGTTTTTTATTTAAAAAAAAATGCTTGCTTACTGTACCCATTTTTTTTGTAAAAAAACTAACCATCCAGAAAGATGGCTCAGGAGAACCGGGGCTCGAATCCCAGCGAAGGTGATGGGTCGATACGAATTCCCCATCCGACCTCAGTGCTCACGTTAAATATGCACAGTTTCAGACGGATCATGTGTCCCGTTGGTGTCAGGCTAACCGTGGAAGGTTTTCCTCTCCATGTAATGCAAATGCGTGTCAGTTCCACCAAAAAGTCCTGCACGAAGGCAAACTTCTCAAAATACTTGATCCAGGAGTTCCCTTGTCCTCTGGATTGGGTTCAAAATGACAAGACGACGGAGTTGAGCATTAGTAGTCGTAAATTGGGTCGGCTATTCAACGACGGTTATGAAATTAAAAATGAATTAAAAACCATCTAGACAAATTATCCAATTAAAGCATAAAAAGTATAGCTAATATCAAATAGTAGATGTAGCATTTTCGTTCAATGGCAAATAACTCCTGATTCGAATTAGTATATTTTGATCAGCAATTTAAAACTAAAAATTCACTATCGAAATGTGTTAAAAAAAGAAGCATGAACTGCCTGTTGAGAAAGTTGAAATCTTTTCACTATAAAATTAAAAAGCACTCATTTGCATTTATTTGGTTGATGTTTTTTTTCCTTCTCTCTTCTGAATATGAGTTGATAAGATGATAGTGGGAACGAATACCGATACAAAAGATAGTGGATTCGAGTTTTAAAAGAAAAGGAGTTGTTCAGAAATTGATAAGATGACAGTGGAACTACTAATCCGACTACTAATTAGTCCCACAGTGGAGTGATAATAAAGACAGTTGAATACGGAAGTCAAGCATCACAGGCTGCAGTCAGCAAATGAGTGTGTGACCTCATTAATCAGCCTGCGTAGTGACCGAGGGCACGCGGTATCGGTCCTCGCTAAACTGCTCTATCATAAAGTGCTCGACTTCGCTCTTAGATCATCGGGCTTCCAAAGCAGGGGAGCCATCCCCTCTGCAGAGTATCAAAATTGCGATGGCGGGTCTTCGGTTCATCCTGAGGGATGTCTTCCAGACCATCGCCAATAGCCCATTGTGCTGCGCTAGTGCGACGTAAAAAAACCCTACCTACTTCTCTATATATTTCTCTTACGTGTCAAGCATCACTGACTGCAGTCAGTGTGCGGGTGGGTGACCACTTGGATCAGCCTGCGAAGGGACCGAGGGTGTGCTGTATGGGTCCTCGTTAAAGTGCTCTATCGTAAAGTGTTCGACTTCGCGTGCAGGTCGTCGGGCTACCGAAGCGGGGGTGCCATCCCCTCTGCAGAGGATTAAAATGGTGATGGCATGTCTTCGGATCATCCTGAGGGATGTTTTCCAGACCGTCGCCAATAGCCAATTGTGCAGCTCTAGTGCGACGTAATTGAACCACAACTACAACAACAGCAACTCTTATGTGTCACCATAAACTCGGGCATTGGCGACATAGTTTTTGTCCATTTTGTAATGTTGTCTTAAGTAATAATTTAAGTAGTTAGTTATATGTTAAGTATTTATTGAGAATAATTTTGTATTTTTATAAAATTTAGTTACGAAATAATAATTGAGATTAATTTTTTATCCTTTCAAAATGGCTGTTAACTGTACTATGGTGCCGCATACTGTCATACTCATTATTAGGTCTCTTTTGAGCAATATCTACATATTTTATATACGACATGCAAGTTATGACTCGAGAGGTGCGTAAGGAAGTAGTACAGCACTGTTTTCTATCTTATCCTCACGACAGATACATGGAAATAATTTCAGTGGTTTCGAGTAATAATCAAAACTGTGTGCCATTTCGAAAACTGATCAAATGATAGTGTGTAGGTAAAGTATGTTGTTGTTTCTAGTGCTACTTGTCACACGGGCAAGCCTGCTTGGTGAAACCGAGCAAATTTAAGGTAGAGTGTGCGTCTCTTGTTTTTCGGTGGCGCAATTCATGGCCAAGAATTTGACTTCTGCCATATCATACTTCGCACCCGTTTATAAGTCGGACCCATTCATTCATCCACAGATCGTAATTTTGACCTGAATGATAGAACGATCGATCTCCAGTACCCCCAGAGATATTGATTTGTTATGGGAACATGGAGGAAGGACTTCGACAGATTTAACGTGCACCAGTCATTTTACTACAGGCCGGCGGGGTTCGAACTCTCGGACATGGGCCCAGCGCCTTACGGACCAGGCAATCCCGGCTCCCCCACCAGGTAAAGTATGAAAGGTATCATTGAGATAATACCTTTTTTGATAATAACTCTAATTAGTAGCCTTGCCAAAATCAAACGCTGCTCTTATTTGCAATTGTTAATTATAAGCCAATGAAATTTAATTGTAAGGTTTTTTCGCCCAAACGAAACGAGGTGTAACTGTTATAAATTTCTTTTAGTTATGATAATACACCGATTTAAAACAGTAAACAATACAATTTAAGGAAAAATGTAATCTAATGGATGTTTAAGAACTGAAGAAGGAGTAACCGAATAAACGAGCCTCTACTATGAAAAGTTAAAAGCAGTCTTAACATTTATTATAATCAGTAGTTAACTTACAATATGTATTGAATTGGTAATTAAAATGGCACACCAACCAGTTGTATTTCATTTTTTTAAGCCCATACGAAAAAATTTTGCTATTAAAATTTTTTCTCCTAGTAATATTGAGAACCATGGGTTGAGACTTAACTGATCTAAGTCTTAACCCTTTGGCTACTAACGGGACTCAATTGTCCCAACAAATGTTTAAAAATTACTAATGGGGTGAGAAGCACTTTGAAACTCATTGTAATATGTCCCAGTCGTAGAGTCGAACCAAGTATACTTGTTTCATGTGTCAAATATCTTCTAGATGGCGCTAAAAAGTTTCTTGCATGAAATAGCATTGTGATTTTGAGCTGGGACAGATATATCTCACTAGTATTCTTCATTGGGATTGTTATGTCCATTCATATTTTATTCATATTTTCTCAAATGCATTTAGAAAAAAGAACAAATATGAGTTGTCCAATGTGTAATGTCGGGTTACGCGAAGATTGCTTCACCCTGTATCATTCCATGTAAAAAAAAAGTCCATGTAATAAATTTTTCCGGAATGATAGATGTGCTTGTAGTAAGTCGATCACTACAGGTGGGACATATGTATCCCACCATTAAGTACGGCTGGGACATATATGTCCCAGCCTCTGAATTGATAGCCGCTTGTCAGAAAAATCCGAAATACTAAATTTGGCTTATTTGTGACCTATTTTGTCCGTTTGAATAATAAACAGGACAAAAAAAAAATCATTTTTTAAAATTCGTAGTTAAAGGATTAAATGTGTGTACTCACTCAAATATATTATTTATATACAGAGCGCAAAAAAATAAATTAACCAACCTGAATAAATTTTGACTTAATGATCGAAACGTATAAGTTCTAGGACTGAATCGCAATGGTTCGAGGGGGTGTCTTCAAATAAGTCAATATTTAGTGCAGACGATATTTAAAAAGTTACGAAATCAATTGCAAAAACCTAACTCTCTGAATAAACATACCTTTTTATTTCGACAGATTCAGATTTTTGGTCCCAAAATAGCAGCAATCAGGGAAATATATCGAATTTTAAAAATACGACGTATTCAAAACTTGATTTCTCAGATACTCTTCGACCGATTTCTCTTAAATTTTATATTTTGTCATGTAAAACTATATTCTTTAAAATGATGTCAAAAAATGCATACTTAAAAAGCTTTTTTTTTTACTCTTATTAAATAACGTAATAAAAGAATATCAAATATTTACTAAAACTTATATTTTGCATGGTATTCTCTTTTTATATTTTGATTATATTTTGCATGGTATTCTCACGAATTTTCTAATTACGTGCAAAAATGTTTCATTCCACTTAAAAAGTTCTCGAGATAGGGAAAAATAAGCCAAAAAATGAAACTAACCGCTCTCCTGGCCAAACCATCATTTCCCCGCATATTGCGACTATCCCCTATATTAATCTATAGTAAAAAGATATGTTCATTCAGAAAAAGTACATTTTTGTGTTTGAACTTAAAATAGCGTCAGCAATTACTAATTAGCATATTTGAGGTCACTCCGTTGAACCAGTAGAAAAGCGTGAAGATCTGATCATTAGATCAAAAGTTATTTAGGGTGGTCTGTTTATTTTAACTGTGCACACATTTAAATGATATTTTAAAGATATTTGCATTCATTATGTCTCAATTTTGCTAAAAATTATTTTTAAAAAATGAAAAATTTTTAACGTTGACTGTTGTAACACAATTTGTAAGTTTATATATAAAATCTAAATGAAGAAAAAAAATATTTTTAAAAAACCCCGTTTTTGTAGTGGAGAATAGTGGATAAATAAAGTAAGGTTTTGTAGTGGATAATTAAAAAACAAAAATTTGAAAAACGAAAAACGTGGGGTGCATGAAATACATAACAGTAACAGTATGTGTGCTCATGAGAATATGTGTATGTATATCTGTAATTGTATCTGAATG